ACAAATTTGTTGAAAAATATAAAATACCAAAGTTCAACTCAAGAAGAAATAGGTAACTTGAGTAACCCTGTATCTATTAGACAATGGAAAGTGTAGCTAGAAAATTCTATGTCCAGATGGCTTTACCAGTGGATTCCACCAAACATATCAAGAAGAAATACAGCAAATTATATACAATTTCTTCAAAACGACTTTAGAGGAGGGAATTCAACGTCACACAAAATGGGCATGTCACGACCAAGTGTGGCTTATCCCAGGAAGGTAGGATCGATACAACATTCAAATATCAATCTGAGGATCACTGTATTAACAAGCTAAAAAAGAAAACCCAGAGAATCATCTCAGTGGGTGAGAAAAAGCGTTTAACAAGATTCAACATCCATGCATGATTTACAAACAAAAAAAGCTCTCAGCAAACTAGGAAGGAAGGGCAGCTAATGGTGAAAGATGGTTTTCTTTCTCAGAACAGGAAAAGCCGGGGGCGTCTGCCCTCACTGACACCCCCGTTCGGCATTGTGCTGCAGGCTCTAGGGAGCACAGCTGAGGTCAGGGCAGCTGGCCAGGAGGGAGGGCAGTTCAGAATGAAGACAAAGCGTGTGTGCAGGGGGGTGGGGAGCGGAGCTTCCCACTCACCTCCCACCCCTACAGGCCCCTTGCTCCCTCTTTCCAACCAGGCTTCCTTGCTCCTCAGGGTCACCTGGGGCTGGTCTGGGGACATTTCCCTGCCCAGCATCCTGTGTCTGGGGACCAGGGCTAGCCGTTGCCCCTTCCCAGCCGCCATCATGCCTGCCCAAGGGCAGGAGAACCCTCCATGGAGACAGCACTGCAGGGAAAGGTGCCCTTTGCCCAGGGCAGGGTGGGGGGCCTCTGACAGCCAAGGGCTTGCGTCCTCTGCCACAGGGCCCTTGCACTCTAAGAGCCATCTTCTCAGTGAGGCTGCTCTGACCTGCTCATCTAAAATCTCAGCCACCCTCCCACCTTCTGTTTCCTTCCCCACGTGCATGTCTGAAGACAACCGATGTGTCTCACTTGTTGTCTGCATACCATCGGTCACAACAGGGGAACACGTCCCTTACAGAGGCAGAGATTTTCCCATGTAACTGTCTGTGCTGTTTCCTTACCTCTAGAAGGGGTCAGGTGTGAAGCTCGTTCACAGTAAACACTGGTCGAATGAATGGGTGAGTGTACAAATGTGTGAGTACATCTGTGGCCTCTCCCCTGCCACCCACCCACTTCTCATCTGCAGCCTGAAGATGCCTCCAAGCTCACCTTGTCCCTTGCCCTGTGGCCTGAAAGAAGAGGATCCCCAGCCTGACTTGCAAAGCTTGGCATGTAAGCGGCTCTCAGCGGAGATGCCTGCCCATTGGGAGCTTCGCCAGCATTGAGCTCTGGTGGGGCCCCAGGTAGGGGCAACTAGCAAATGAAAATGCATGTAAAAAATAAAAGTACATCCCTACACACCTATGAGAGTGACCAGAATTCAGAACACTGGCACCCCGAATGCTGGCAAGGACGAGGCGTGGCAGGGACCCCCACTCGCCGCAGGCGGGAATGCAGGTGGTGCAGCCGCATCGGAAGACGGTTTGACGGTTCCTTACAAAGCCTCACTCATTCTTACCACGCGATCCAGCAATCACACTCCTTGTATTTACCCAGGGGAGCTGAAAACTACGTCCACACCAAACCCCGCACACCGATGTTTACAGCAGATTTATCCGTAACTGCCAAACCTGGAAGCAACCGAGGCGTCCTCCACGGGTGACGGACGGACTGTGGGCCATCCCGACGACGGGTGTTATTCTGCACTAAAGAGAGACGCGCCATCGGGCCAGGAGAACACACGAGGGCCCTCACACGCACAGGACCACGGGGGAGAAGCCGACCTGGGAAGGCCACGCGCTGTGAGCCTGCCTCTGTGACACTCTGGAAAAGGCGACACTGTGGGTGGTGGGGGGTCAGTGGTGGCCAGGGGCTTGGGGGAGGGGGGTGAACAGGTGGGTCACAGAGGATTTGTAGGACAGGAAACTACTCTGGATGACCCTGGGTGGTGGCTACACGTCATGACACATTTGTCCAGACCCGGAGAACGGGGCGCCACCAGAAGTGAGCCTCGCTAAGCTGTGGCCGCTGTTGATGATAATGTATGCCCCTTGGTCCATCAGTTGTGACACATGAATCAGCCAGAACAGATGTCAATGATGGCGGAGGCCAGGGGGCAGGCAATACACTGGACTCCCTTCTTTTCTGTGCAATTTTTCTGTAAACCTAAAATTGCTCTACAAAACAATCTATTAAAAAACAAGAAGAAAACAAAACACGGGTTATCAGAGTGTTTTATTTAACCAGGCACCTTCTTTCTTACCTGGCTGGCCTGGACCCAGGAAGTGAGCTGCTGACCTCAGGACAGGCGAGCGAGGCCGTGAAGGGACGGCTCCAAAGGCAGGAGAGAAGAGAGAGGCCTCAGGCTGCCACCCACCCCATGCCCACCTCTGTGCTCAGACCTCTGGGCCTGAGACCAGCCCTGCCTCGCCCTCCCTGGGACCTGAGCTCCCTGCTCAGACACCCTGTCCTGGGGATGGCAGCACCCACCAAGCCCAGGGCTCAGTCCACCCACCACGCTCTCCCACTCAGTTCTGAGCCCAACATCCCCCACATCTCCTACCACATGACAGGTAACATCACACCTGCCACCTAGAATGTGGCCACAGTCGTCAGCGCCTTATAAAAAGAGGAGGAAAGCCTCCTGGCCCAGGGACCCCATCCTCCAGCTCCACCCCTTCCCCACTTCCCTGCACGCCCTCCCCTTGGGCCCTGCAGAGGCCCTGGTACAGCAGCCACCTCGCCACCAAGCCCGGGCCCTCTTCCCACAGGGCCTGGAGGACAGCCGCCCTTCTCAGCGCCTCCTCCAGCAGGCAGGCTGAGGCCCTGCAGGCGCAGCTAACCTGGCCAGGGCCCACCTTCACCCCACTAAACCCACTTACATCATTCCCATCATGGAGCACCTGCCAGCAGCCTCCCCGTGGCCCAGCCCCTGGCACCCTCCCCAAGGCCCCATCCCCTCACAGGCCTGCTCCCCACCTTGCCCTGCTTCCCGGGGGTCCCTTTGTCCCCACAGCTCACTTGCCCGTGCCCTCAATGCCCTCTCTGCTCTGGGACCCAGCGAGCAGAGGGGACCTAGGAGGGGACGGGCCTGAGCCCTCCCCTTCCCACAGGCAGGGGGACCCAGATCCTGTCCTGTAGAGGGGGTCCCCTGAGTGGTGGCCTGGGTGGGGCTGGAAGGGGGCAGGTGGAGAGGACAAGGGAGGCCAGGGGCTGCACAGGGGAGGCATGGCTGGGGGTGCCCAAGAAGAGTCCCAGGGGACGGGGAGAGTGACCCAGGACAGGGACCCCAGCCAGGCTGGCCAGAAGGGCTGGGGGTGGGGGTCCTTGGGGTTCCAGACCAGGAGAGGGAGGAAACACCTCTGACCAGGTGGAGAGAGGAGCCTTAGACCAGAGACAGGCCCACCAGGCCTTCCCGCTCCCCCAGACAGGTGGTGGTCTGTGGCCCCTGTGACCTACACCCGTGGGCACCTGGTGAGGGCATGTTGGGGCATCTGGGGCTCAGCCCCGGGGATGGCTGAGGGGAGGGTGTGCTGGATTCAGGGAAGGATGTGGGGGAGACATGCCCGCCGAGATGCTGTGGGGCATGGGTGGGGCGTGAGGGGCAGGGCGTCAGCGGGTCTGGGGGTTTAGGGGACCGCAGGGGCATAGTGGGCTTATGGGCTGTGGGTACTTGCAGGGGTGCAGGACAGGGAGTGAGGCTCGGGCTCCGGTCATTTGGGGGTCAGAGGCGCAGACTGGGCTGTGGACCCGTCGCCAGTCAGGGGCATGGGTCTGGGTGCGGCTCAGATGCGCGAGCACCGTGGGCCCCGTAAGGGGCCAGGTGTGAGGGGTGCGTGCGTTGCGCAGGGCAGGGACGGCGGGGCGGGGCGCGTGCCCACGCCCTTCCGACGCCAGGGGTCGCTGTGGCGGGTACGCGCCCGCCGTGCGCAGCCCTCCTTCCGCCCGCGACCCGGAAGCTGCGATGGCGCGGAACGTGCTGTAAGCCGCGCTGGGGGGGGCGGCTGGAGTGGGGGTGGGCGACGGGTCCAGCGCGGCCCGGGTGGGGGCGGGGTTGGGAGCGTGGCCGGTCCGGGTCGGGGTGGCGGGCAGCGGGGACTCTCTGCACTCGCCGCCAGCGCCCCCGAATGGGCCGGGCCGGCCGGTTCAGCCGCAGCGCGAGCGGGAAGCCCCCGTGCCCCTCCGCGGACCGCACGACCCCGGGAATGAATGAGTGAACGCGGGCGGCGGGCGGTGGCCGTGCGGTCCGTGCACCTGTGCAGGTGCAGAGGGGCCGCCGGCGCAGTGCGGATGGGCCTGGCGGGCGCGCCGCTTTGTCCAGCGGGTTGGGGAGGCCCTGGGGCCACGAGCCTCGGCGACGCTGGCACCAAGTTGCGAGCACCCCGGGGCTGGGAAAGGAGCAGGCGGTGCGCTTGGAGGTGGGTCCGTGCGCTCCAGGGAGGCCCGGAGAAGGGCGGTGTAAGTCCGGGAAGACCAAGTCCCGGGGCAAAATACCTCTAAAAACCGAAATCAGTCAAAGGGAGAAATAAAGTTTAAAACCGTTTATTCCTTACAAACTGCAGGCAGGCCCACCTCTCCCTCCTGCTCCAGCAACAGCATCAAAACCCGCCCTCCCCTCCCCTCTCAGGTACAGATAAGCCCTCCATTGCCCAGGTAATTACCCACTGATATGGAGAAGAACTTCCACCCCTGAGGAATGATGCAAATGCACTAAAGCCGTACTTCCCTCCACCCTTGAGCGCCTGTGGATATGCAGATGTACTAAAGCCAGGCCAGATATTCCTGAAATACTACAGTTTTGCCCACAGGCGGACAGGACTTGGGTATGGATGGGATGCGGTTGGAGGTGAGGGACAGGGTGAGGTCTCAGTGAGTCACCCTCGGGGCCGCAGGGAGGTAGGGCTGGCCTGTGCTCTGAGGACTCGGAGTTCCTTGTGGTGTTAGGTGGAGGTGCCTGGGAACCACGGGAGCTGTCAGGGCGGCGCAGGAAGGCCGTGTTCTGGTTCTGGAACCCAGGAGGATGGGGGTCGTCAATGCTGTTTCTTGCACACCTGGCAGATCCCGGGCCCCAGCAGGCCCTGGGGGCTGGCCTGATGTTCAGCGTGGGGGGCTCTGGGGGAATGGGAGACTTGGACCCTGCCAGGCTGGGGCCTGTCACCTCCGACCCCCACATGGGGCCTCTCTGCACACCGCTCCTCCGACGGGCCCGCCTGTCAGGGCTCACACCTGGGTTTGGTAGGTGGAGGGCCCAGCCAGGGCTCTCCCCTCTCCACTGTGGCCTGACTCTGTCCCCTGCAATGCCACCAGGGGAAATAAGCAAGTCCCTTGGTGAGCTGTGGGCCTGAACTCCCATGGAAGGTAAACTGAGGCAGGCAGCTGTTCCCTCGGGGTCCTGGGAGGCAGCCCTTTAGAACCTACCATTCCTTTCTGGCCTGTGGCCGGTGTCCACCCCCCGGAGAACACTGCAAATGCGGACTTGGTGACACCTGGGTGGACGGTGCTGAGGACGCTGCGGCCTGAACCCTGCCCTCGGAGAGCTCCAGCAACCCCTGCCCCAGCCACCCCGGCTCTTCCTCCCCAGGCTTGTGAGTCTGAGAGCCAGCCTGGAATTTCACTGGGTGCTCCCCAAGATCGGGGCCCCATGTGCTGCAGAGTTGCCCCAGGGTACTGGTGAGCTGCCATGGCCTGTGCCCCCGTGCCCACCCTCCACCACCCGCCCCTCACAGACCTTGGAGACTACAGGCCCTCTCGCCTCCCTAGCCCCGAGGCTGTGCAGTCCCTGCGCCTGGGCCCTTTGGCAGTGGCAGCCTGCACCTTTCCAATGGCCTTGCTCACTTTGGGGGTGTTCAGGGTGCACAGAGTGGTGACATCAGCTCATGGCTGGTGAACTGCAAACCCTTACCCTCTGTTCATCCCTGTCTCGAGGAGAGTGTGCAAGAGACCCCCCGCCCCCGTGGTGGGGCTGAGCTGCTGTCAGAGGCCAGATCTCATCTCTTGGAGCAGAAGTGATACATGCTATCCACAGGCCTGCCCCATGTGGGGCCCGCTTCTGTGGCAGGCGACAGCCAGGCAGTGGCCACGGGCTGGGGGAACTGTCACTTTGAACAACACGTGTCTCAGCCTTGCTGCCAGCCTGTTTTGGTGGGGGCAAGGGTGGGCATGTGTTCTGCCGGCCTCTCTCTCTCTGAGTCACTCCTTTGCCCTTTCCAAACACCAGCCCCGAGGGTCAACAGCTCCACCACCTGAGTTGGTCTCGAGCTGGGAGCCCACACTGGGCAGACTTGGCGAAGGAGGCCTTTGGGGCCTCAGGACAGTGGGCCGTGGAGAGCCGCCCCTTTGCTTTGTGTTTATCATAAACACAGATCTCTCTCCCAGGTACCCCCTCTACCAGCTGGGCAATCCCCAGCTCCGCGTCTTCCGCACCAACTTCTTCATTCAGCTGGTGCGGCCTGGAACGGCCCAGCCCGAGGATACCGTGCAGTTCCGGATCCCCATGGAGTAAGCCCTGAGCATTACGGGCGTGGGTGCCCCCGAGGGGCTTGTGGCACCTGCAGTGTCACTGGCCAGCTTATGTGTGCGGCTCATGGCTTTGCAAACACTGACAAGGGTCTGGCGTTTGCAGAGCCTGCGGTGGGGCTGGGCTCGCCCCCTCCCTGCCCCTCCATCTGGGAAGCTGGGGGAACACCCAGTGTGCTGATCCTCCCTCCCTTTGGGGGGTTAGGCCACGAGTCCCAGCACTGCTCACCACAGCTGCCAGACCATCCTTGAGGTCCCTTCTCAGAGGACTGGTCACTGAGGATCACAGCTTCCCCATCACTCAGGCTGCAGGGTGCTACTCTGAAGTCAGGATGTGACTGTCCTAGGCCGTAGGCTCCAGGCGTGGCTTGAACTTCTGTGCCAGCTGAGGGTCTGCTGTCAGCCTTAAGGGGACAGGAGAGGTCCAGGGCCCGAGTTTCTAGTGGCATTTGGGGTGGAAAAGGCATGGGTTCTAGCCTGACGACACCTCCGCTGTCTGCTCTTGGAAGGGACCTCATCGTGGGCAGCACCTGGATGGGACCAGCCATGGCAGCTGGGCTCTGGCAGCCTCGGGTACTGCCGGCTGTCACTCCCCTCAGGCCTTGGGGCTTGACCCCTGGTGAGCGGGGCCCCGAAGCAGAGTGGCTGCAGCTCACTGAGTCCCTGGTCACCCCCCACCCCCACCCAATGCATGCAGGAGGGGAGAGCCTGGCTGGGCACCAGCGGCTGCCCCTTGGGTCGCAGCCCACCAGGCTGAGCAGGCTTCTCCCTGCCACAGGGAGGCTGTGTGCCCCACCCCCGGGGCTGCCCTCCATTGGCTCTTGTGAGCAGACAGGCAGCGTTTATGGTAACCTGGTTCAACCCTGTCTGTCCCCCACCCCAGGATGACCAGGGTGGATCTGCGGAACTACCTGGAGCGCATTTACAACGTGCCTGTGGCTGCCGTGCGGACAAGGGTGCAGCACGGTGCGTGCCCAGGGTGGCTGCTGCACTGCTGCGGGTGGGCTGTCCCCACAGCTCACGTGGCCCACGCCCTCCTCAGCCACTCTGTGGGGACTGTGCTTGACATGGGAGGAAACCAAGGCGTGGGGGCTGAGGTGGCTTCCCAGGGTCCTACATCTTATGGGGCAGAACACAGCTGCAGCTCAGGTGGGCTAGCCCCAGGCTGCAGCCCTGTCCTCCCCGGAAGCTGGGGCAGCAACACAGAGTCCTTGCCGCCTTGTCCCCTCCTGTCCCCGATGCTGTAAACCTGGCGACCTCCAGTCTGAGGTGGGGACAGCTAGCGAGTCACTGTGCTCACAAACAGGAGAAACTGGATTCTTGAGCCATTTTAGACATACCTGGGTTTTTAATGGAGCAGAGATCCCCAGGAGCATGCTTGCCCCCATAAGCTGGTCTATAAACAGCTCGCTGGCGTCTGACATGCTGTGATCTGTAGGAGACCAACTGATTCCTCTCTGTGTGCCTCTTTCTAGAAAGCGGGTCCAGATTAGCTGGACTGGAAATTTCGTGCTGTGAGAAAAGTTTTATCTGGTCCCCTCCCCCTCCCTGTTCCCTTCAGGTTCCAACAGGAAGCGGGATCACAGAAACGTCAGGGTGAAGAAGCCGGATCAGAAGGTGGCCTACGTGCAGCTGGTGAGGGCGCCGCGGCACAGAGCCCCGAGTCCTGGGCGTGGCTTTTCACAACTGTGACCTTGGTTTGGGGGATGTGTGATTGTGCAGCAGCTGCTGCTCAGGGGCTGGGGGTCTTTGGGAGGCAGATCTTCAGGCCTGTGGCACGGCCCCGCCTGCGCCTGGTTCCAATCCACAGGTTGGCCCATGGGAGGGGCAGGTGCAGGTGCACTGAAACTGCCCGGGCTTTTGCTCTGATCATGCATTGGGCACAGACAGTAACCAGACCCAGCCAGGGGCCACAGGCCGCCTGTCTCTGGGGAACCTGTCCTTGGACAGGTCCTGGGCTAGGAGCCAGTTTGTGCCGAGGGTAAAAGGTGCTGGCAGCCTGAGAGCAACCAGCTTGCTGCACCCTGGAGCCCTGGCCGAGGCCCGTCCGTTAGGTCTGTTGACGGCCGCACCCCCAGACCGCTATGGGGGACTCCAGTCCTCAGTGTCAGGTAAACCACCTACCTGGGGGGGTCCCGGTAGTGGCCTCTGGCCACAACCACTAGATGGCAGTAGTGCTCTCATGGACACACCCTGGGCCGCAGACTGATTTGGGGGTGTTGGGAGGTGGTTTATTATAAGGTCAAGTTAGTGTGGCAGCTTTTCTGAAAAACAGTCACGGTTGTTCTAAATAGGGGCCCCGTCATTATTTGGCCTGATACTTGCTGTGCATGAAATTGGCCAATGCAGGTGGAGAGAGTGATTGGCCTTATAAAGGTGCCCGTGCCCTCTTAAATCAGGCCGTCTGTCTTTGCCATGGCATGCGGCTGGTGTCTCACATGTCGGCATTTGCCCTGAGTCCCTCCAGCAGGCAAGCTGCGGTCACCAGTGACACGGAGTCCCTCGACTCCCACACGGTCCCTGGGCCCCACCTCTGCACGGAGACTAAGCTGGGCGGCACTCAGGCTCAGCCACCCGCTCACCCTTCTTCCTCTGTGGGGCTCGGGGGAGCCGGGGCAGCACAGCCACCAGCAGGGCCCTGCCAGGCCCGGTTCCTGCCCTCAGACCTTCAGTGTGCAGTGGTCCCCCCAGTCCTGGCTCCAGCGGACCTCTGCCCGCCCTGCCCTACCACAGGGGTCCCATCCCGTCCCACATGTCCCTCTGGGCCAGCCCCAGGGCTGCTGGCAGCAGAGCTAATGCCCCACGTGCGTGCCCTGGCTGTCCTGCATCCCAGACTCTAGTGAATGCCAAAGGGCATCGACCTGCACGCGGAAGCCTGCTGTGTACACGGCCTGCCCAGGGGAGAGTGCGGCTGCTACTGAGGGCTGGGCAGGAGCGCATCAGGGTGCAGGTGAGGGCCAGGGGCTCCCAGGACCTTGCCACTTCCCAGGTGACCTTTCTGTTCTTCCTGTTCTTTTCTGCTGATCTCGCTCTGTCCCCCTTGGGAGGGTTTAGGCTTTACTTTGAAGGTACAAGTGAATTTCTCTAGGAAGTGAACCCTCAGAAGCCATGGTCACAACACAGATGGCTGTTGTCTCTCCTAAGAACTGCAGGATATCTCTCACCCGGTTCTCTGTTTTTTCTCAGGCGATTGGAGACTTTGTATTTATACCTTAAAAGATATAAATATACCTTTATATCTTGGGTTTTCCCGCCTCAGAAAAGTAGCAGGACCACCTCGGTGTATCAAACATGAACTCTGGGTCTGGGTAGTAGGTGCTGCGTGTGAACTGTCACCCTTTGCTGTTTTCACAAAGGAAAGAGGTTTTGAGAGGTGTGAGCCGGCCCCCCTGCGGGCCGGACGCAGCCGCTGCCGCGTGGCTCTGACCCACGCTGCTTGCCCCACAGTCAGAATTCCCCGGATGGAGTACGGGGGCAGTTTTGGATCATACTCAGCCGCCTGCCTTCCCAAATCCAAATTCCTTTACAAAATGGGTCTGCCAGAACAAGGCACACTTCCTTGGTTTCACTTACTAGAATTTTCCAGATGCGGACATAGTCCTCCAGCCACCTCGGACCATCTGGCATGGAGGGTGCTGCCCTGGGAGCTATCTGGGTGCCTTGTCCCCACCCTTGTCCTCAGAGCTGTTCCGTGATATATGGCAAATTGAAATGGTACCTCACAGTTGCTTCGGTCCCCAGGGAGTGAATGGCTCGCTCCTCCACACTGACTGGGGGGCCAGGCTGGTACCCCAGCCCAGTGCTTGGGGGTCCGAGCTGGGACTTGGCCAACATGGACACATTCTGAGCTTTTAGTGAAAGACGTAAAACCAGTTGATTTGCAAAGTGGGCCTTGATTCACAGACCGCTGTGTGTACAATTCTGTGTCCATTGCTCAGCTTTCTTTGCCAAGCTCTGAGCCAGGGGAGAGGGAGTCTTTAATGTGGGTGAAGGCCTTGGGTGTTTTGAACAGGGAGCAATTTGGCATGGCACCAGAGGCTCTCCTCTGCCTGGTGCCGCCCCCAGTCTGGCCAGGCTGCCCCCCCCCCACAGTGAATGGGCGCTTTGCTGGGGCTCCCGCTGCTGCAGACACCTCCAGAGAGGTGACGTCAGTGAAAGGGGGCTTTGTCCAGAGTAATGGCTTCCTGTGGCTAAAGACCGGGCCGCAGCCACTGAGATGCATGTTTTCCAGGCAGGGATATCTCTCCCGACATTGGCCATGTCTGTCTGTCACGCACGTTCTGCCTTCCCTCATCCCAGAGGCCAGCCTGCTCCAGGCAGCCCCTGCATGTCAGAGCTGCAGACCAGCTGGAGCACGAGTCTTTCCCCTGCAGGCGCATGGACAGACCTTCACATTCCCGGACCTGTTTCCTGATAAGAAGCCGAGCCCTGAAGGCGGCTCTGTTGACAACAGCCTCTGGGACCTGCCGCAGAGGCAGACTCAGGACCCCCGGCGTGGTGGCGTCCCGGACTGGTTCGGCCTGTGACGGCCCGTGTGGGTGTGGCCCTGACCCCAGTAAAAGCCTTGCGTGTGGAGAAGTGCCAGGCTCTGTCTCTGTCCTGCTCCCCAGCAGCTGGGCCAGGTCCTCTCTGCTGGTGTTGGGGTGCAGCCTGCTCTGCGCAGAAGCCCCTGTGGGCCCCGCACACAGCGGGCCCCAGGTAGCCTGTCAGGCTGACGCGACCACGTGTGCAGCTCTGGCCCCGAGGACCTCAGGCGAGGCTGGGAGCCCCGTGAGCAGGTTGTTAGTTGGGCACATGTTCCAGGCCAAGGGTCCAGTTTGCGGGACTGGTGGGTATTGAGTGGGCAGGGGAGGCGGCTGCGGGGGGTCAGAGGTGTGTCGGGCTGCACAAGCAGAGAGGTGGGGCCCAGGGTGGGTGTCCAGAGAGAAGGCGCAGGACCCGCAGCAGAGAGCTGTGAGGTGGCCCTGTGCCAGGTGCCCGAGGCCTCTGCTGCCCAGGTCCTCAGGGATCGAGCCCAGCCCACGAGTCCCACTGCACACGCGGCGATGCTGGCACATGGCAGCTCGAGGAGGCCGCGCGTGGTAGCGGAACCGCCTGAGTGCACGTGTGTGTAGGCCTGATGCTGAGGTGAGTTTAGGGAGCAGGCCAGGACGCGTGGTTGGAATGCTCAGGAGAATTGGCCGTGACACCCCGAGGTGTGCAGATGCCCCCGGGCCTCAGGGACCACGGTCCTCTCGGGCGTCTGGGACGCAGAACCATGTGGGAACCCCAGAGCTGCTCTGCTCTGGTCTAGGTGAGGGCTCAGGCTCTTCCTCTGCCGGGAGCCTTGCAGCGGGTGGCAGAAGTGGGGAGCTGGCTCGGCCACCCCTCCACCCCAAGGGAACCTGAACAGGGTCCCGGGGCCTCGTAGCTCCCCCGGAGGATGAAGGTCAGGGCAAACTGCTCCCTGCAGTGCTGACTTAAAGGGACGAGGAAGGTCCGGAAGGAGACAGGAATCAACAGTATTTTCCTTAGAGAAAGAATTCCTGGGACCCCGTGGCCCTGAGGACCCCAGCTCAAGGCCTGGAGAGGAATCCCATCCTCCATCCTCTGCATTTCCGGAACCCACCACCCAACAAGCCCCAGACCCTCCCACCGCTCTGCTGTCCTGTTCCTGCAGCGGGTGGGCTGGGGCTGGGGCTGCAGGGCCCCTTTCCCAGATACCTGCCCCGTGGGAGTTGGCCTGGAGGGGAAAGTGTAGGGACAGGCGTGCGGACTGCTCAGGGTTCTGGGAAGCGGGCCTTCAGCTGGGGCAGCTCCACCTCAGCCCCAGGCACGGGACGGGGAGGAGGGGACCCCCTCCCCTCCCGGATGCCTCCTCGCTTGCATTGGGGAGGTAGAGGACCGGAGTCTTGGGAGGTCCACCTCTTCCCTCAGACAGGCTGCCTGGTGGCTTACCCATGACTCAGTTTTGCCTCTTGCACAAGTCAACTAGGAGGTGGGGATCCAGACCTCAGCCCTGGCAGCCTTACCCCCAAGTTCCCCCACGCATGGGACCAGAGGAAAATCTGCTGGGGCCCCTAGCCCATGAATGCCTGGGCAAGACCTCCATACGACCTGTGCAGAGGGAACCACGTGGCCCCCCCTCCCTGCCATTGCTGGACATTCCCCCCAGGGGCACCCAGGCCAGCTCCTGGGGGAGTGAATGGGCCAGGGAAGAGAGCCTGTGGCACTGCCCCCATGTGCCCCTTGCCTTCTGGGGTGTTCATTTGTCACCAGGCAGGGGGAATCCGTCTCCCTTGCAGGAGGGAAGCAAGACCCAGTAGCTGCAGGTTACTGCAGGCAGAGGCCTGCATGGAGGGGGCTGAGGGCCAGGGCCTGCGCCGGGCTGCGTCTGTGCTGATGAGTTACAGCTGCAGCAGGCCCACTCTGGGGTCCACAGGGACACATCCCAGACCCCCCAGCAGCCCCAGGTGAGGCCCACCCACCCATGGCGTGGGTTGGAGCTGAAACCCTCTGGCCTGTGTTGTCTGTGGGCATCGGGGTTTCCTCCTCAAGCCCCCCTTGGAGCTACATCTTGTAGCTCCAAGGCATCGCTTCCATACCTGGGTGCAGGTGCCCACCCAGGAGCTGGGGCGGGTCTGCCAAGGAGCCCACGCAGCATCTGCAGCCCTGCATCCACCCACCACGGGCTCCCTGTTTTCTGGCCCCTGTGTGCCCAGCCGGGGCGCAGGCCCAGGGGCACAGCCATTCTGAGCTGTTAGAGGGGCCCCGCTGTCCTGTTGTCTGGAGCTTGGAAGCTGGATGAGGTGTGGGTGGGGTGCAGGCAGGTGTCCCGAGCTGCACAGTGGCCAGCGCCACGTGTTTCCACAGAGACTGGAGGCTGCCACGTCTGACCCTGGCACCTCACAGGGCAGGAAGTGTGGGTGGTGGGCTGTGCCTCTGCTTTCAAACAACTTCATTGAGACAGTCCACCTATTCAGTGTCACGTGAAGCCCTTTAGTACATTCCCAGTTGTGTGTGTATCACTGACTGATTTGAAAACGGTGCCCTGTGACCCTGTGTCTGCTGCAGGGCTCCCGGCCCCTGCCACCCCTGAGCCTGCTTTCTGTGGGCTGGGCTGGTGGCCTCTGGGCCCGTCCATGCTGTCTCTATCAGGGCTAGCCTGGAGGCTGCGTAATGCCCCACTGTGGGTACGGACCCCGTTTTGTGTATCTCTTCATCCCTTGCCTCCACCTCTAGGGCCGTGTTTTTGAGTTGCTCTGGGAAGACCTCGCCTTTTGCCTGTGGTGTTTCCTGTGAGGCTGGGGCAGCCTCGCCATGCAGAAAGGCATCTTTCAGTCCCTAACAGGCTCCGCAGGCTGCAGAGAGACCGTCCGGCCTCTGAAGCCTGGATGGTGCCGGGAGCTCCACCTCGGCCGGTTGGGGCAAGAGTGTCCACTTGAGTGAGGCAGGCAGGGGAGAGGCCTTCCAGCCCCGGGAACCTTCCCAGAAGGCCACAGGCCGGCCCTCCCTAAGGGACACTCAGCTCTCAGTGCCTGCCTGCCAGGTGTGGTGGCTTGGTACCCGTGAGCGTTCCCCACACGGTCGGCGCCTCGGGCAGTCCCCAAGTCCCCGTGCACATGGGTGCCTTCCTGCCTTTGTAGTCGCCTGGACGTGTATGTCCCTTCAGGGCAAAAGAGGCCCCCCTCCTGTGTTTGCGCTGTGTGCTGCGCTAGGGCTGCAGGGCGGACTGGTGCCTCCGCGTTCCACCTGAGGGCCTGTCAGCCTTCCCCGGCCCCCAGGACCCAGTAGCTTCTGGGGCAAAGGGAAAAGGCCTCTAAGGGGCTGGGTCTCTGACCACCATCCTCTCCCAAGGTTTCCACCCAGCTCGGCCTGTGGGGCTGCACCCCACAGGGCAGGGCCGGTAGGTGCCCTCAGGGATCCCAGGGCCGCTCCCCACACAGCGCACAGGGTGCATCTGCGTTTACTCCTTCCCCACTGAGATCATACCCAGCACCAATCCCCCAAATCACGTCATTATTTCTTTGTAATTGGGGCTTTTCCTAGTCAAAATAATCAGCATTTTTGTGTTGTTCCCACATCTGGCTTTGATTGGCCGCAGCCTCCTCGGGTAGACGCTGTAGCCCTGACTGCAGGAGGAGGGAAGAAAGGTGGCCTGCTTCCCAGCTCCCACAGGCCAAGCTGTGGGTGGCGGGCGGGGAAGGAAATGCAGGCCTCCCCCACACGCCTCCGCTCCCTGCCTGGGTCCAGCTTTGCTGGGTGGGTCCTGGTTTCGCCTTATCAGAGTTGGGGCCCTGGGGGCTCCTCAAAATGGCCAGATTGCCTCCCTCTTTGCGGCTTGCACGGCATCTGTGGAGCCCCCAGCAGATGCTTCCAGCACAAATTTTCAGCCCTGCTGTCCCTCACTCTCCAGGACAGCAGGCCACTTCGCCATTACTTCCAGAATCTGTCCCAACCCCTCACTGAGGGACAGAGACGGAGTTTCTCAGAACACATGCCACAGGCCCTTCCTTCTGCGCAGACTCCAGAGGGAGTCGAGAGAGGAGGGTCCTCGAGTGCCCATGTCCTGCAAGGATGGCTCTGCAGGTCAGAGGCAGGGCTGCACCACCTTCACTTCCTGGGGAAGCTTGAAGCTGGAAGGTGGTTGGCTGGTGGCTCCTAGAGGAACTGCCCCAGGGACACTCCTCTCCTTGCCACACAGGCTCGGAGCCCGCAGCAGAGCACACCTTTGCACAGCGACCTGGGCTCCTCTGAGAGCACCCCCCAAAAAGCCCGGGTTTAGGGCACCCCTTTGCTCTCTGAGCAGCTCCCCTGAATGCTTGCCCCTTCAGTCCTGCTGGCCTGTGTCCGGGAGGGTGACTCTGTCCCCCAACCCTATGTGGGTCCTGAGCTGGCCCTCCTGGGCCCTAACACTGGTGGGGAAAGGATGGCCCGCACTCCCATTTGAGGGGAGGTGTGGTTGTGTGGGTGGTGACGAGGCTCGAACACCCTCTGCACGGGCGGCACGGTGTCCGAGAGCCTGAAGCAGCGTGTCCTGTGCTCCGAGCCCCTCGCCTATGGGCGCACAGGACGGCCCTGGCCGTCCACCTCCTGCCCTCCGACCCAGCTGCCGTGGCTGTGGGGTGGACCGGCCACAGACACTGGGTGACCAGCGTCAGGGAGCCCAGCGGGCAGGCGTGTGTCCACTGACTGCTCGAGTTTGAGCTTGAAAGTGCTCCGGGGAGGGGGTGCTTCGGCGGGGGGGCCAGCGCCCCACAGACCCTGAGCTCATGCCCCTCACCCTGCACCCCGCAGCTGCAGGCCCCTTCTCTCCAGTGGGGGTGGTGCCTCCCAGAAGCCTCTGAGGCAGGCCAGGGCAGGGCAATGCCGCCCCTTAAGCAGAACAAGGTGCTGGCCTTCCATGGCTCACTTTACAAAAGTGTTTGGAATTCCAGTCCCGAACAGCTGAATGTTCCTTACCAGGTTCTCCCTGTGACTTCACTGGCAGCCAGGGTCCTAAACAATCCCTATAAAAGCCATGTCAGCCCCGAATGGTGTGATGTCTGATTTGTGGCACTAATAAGCCCGCGCGCCTGCCGCCAGAGCAGAGCCAGCAC